CATTGAAAACATCGATCACTTGGGTTTCTTTATTTATCGACTGTGTCATGACAAGGAAACTTACAAACTGCAACGCAGAGAAACTATTAAAGGTAATACTTTTTAACTTCAAAAGTGTTGGCAGAAAATTCCATTATGCCACTTCATTGTGTTAAAATATTTAGACGAAGCTTGATCATCGTTTTCAGTATGCTTGCGGTGAGAAAATAAAATGATATTGTGTCACTATGTAATACTTCCAGATTTATACAATCGTCTTAATTCTAAATATACCCTTTGCAGATAGAGAAAACAAGTCAGTTTGAAATGGCATTGTCTTGAAAAAAACAGGTGTCTCGCTTTCCATATAGCTGCCTAGTCTGACTTTCTATCCCCACCATGTCTCATTCATTCTGTTATCCAGAAGGTCTCTTCAGACCAGATCTTCACTTGTATTTTCAGTGATCTGGATCATAAGCAAGCTGTTTGTCTTTTAGATCACATTGAGGATAATCATAGTTTAGTTAGAAAAGAATTAGGGTGAGGAATTAAGAGCTTTGATCCAACTAATGTCACTTTGTCAAATCACTTAACCTTTGTTTTCTCACCTGAAAAATAAGGATAACAGTATGTTCCTATTTTCTTTCTATTGTAAAAATAATACAAGAGTACCTGTGACAGAACTATAGAAATCAAGAAGTGCCATTCAAATGTACTGTGGTATGACTTCTTTGTGTCACCCAGCTTTCCTGGCTTTTATTAACAATAATAATACTGTTCTCTTCACCTGGGGCTGATGAGTCATCTGAAAACTACCACTTGATTTCTTAACATTTAAAAATTATCTTGGTTCATAATTTTTTTATTTGTTCTTTGTAGATAGGTTCATAATTTTTTAAAGTCAAAACTGATTCATACAAATGGATACATACAAAATACATACCGAAATTTTTCCTTTTTAGTGTATATTTCTCAGTTTCCACAAATGTACACGTGGTCGTGCAAATACTACCACAGTCAAGATGTAAAACATTTCCAAAACCTTCAGGTTAAAAAATTTGCAAACAATCTGGAAGTCTTATTATTGTTGCTATGATCTGTGAAGATGCTTAATTCAGAAAAGGGAGAGAAATTATCTATAATGTAAGCAAAGCTATAGAAGTTTATGGAATATAATGAAATGTTTTCATGTATCTCATACATTATCTGAAGATTAATGTGAGTATTTTTTATTAAAGAACCAAAAATTTAAAAACTTTTTTCTCCCAAACAGGTATTCAGAAACGGGAAGCCAGTGATTGTGTCACAATTCGGCATTTTGAAAACAAATTTGCCGTGGAAACTTTAATTTGTTCTTGAACAGTCAAGAAAAACATGAAGAAAAATTTAATACCACAGCATAACCCCATCCTTTGTATTTTGTGCAGTGATTATTTTTTAAATCTACTTTCATGTAAGTAGCAAACAGGGCTTCACTATCTTTTCATCTCATTAATTCAATTAAAACCATTACCTTTAAAAACATCTTTTCTTCTTTCTAAGTGTGGTGTCTTTTATATTCGAATTAGTAATTGTATGAAGTCATGGATAATACTGCACTTCACCACCAATCTTAGTGTTAGGATGAATTAAAATTTTTAATCATTTATCTGGGTTTTTATGTTTTAATTATGCATTTTCAAGAGGAGGGGTTATCTAAAGAATAATCATATATGTGCATACATTAAAATGGACCACAGTGACTTATTTGTAGTTGTTAGTTCCCTGCTGCCTAGTTTGTTAGAGCATTTGAGCACACATTTTAATTTTCCTTTAATTAAAATGTACAGTATTTTCAGTGTTGCATTCAACTATTTAGAGTATGATTTCCACCTTGATGTTTTAATATCCTAGGCATATGCTGTAATAATATTTTAGAAAATGTTTGGAGTTTAAGAAATAACTTGTGTTACTAATTTGTATAACCCATATCTGTGCAATGGAATATAAATATCACAAAGTTGTTTGACTAGACTGCGTGTTGTTTTTCCCGTATAATAAAACCAAAGAATAATTTGGTTCTTCATATCTTAAGATAATCCACATAAAGAAAGAAACTATTTTTTAAAAATTCAGTTCTCTATATACAGTGAGTAAAATACTAGAGTTTTTAAAAATAAAAATAAGTCATTAATAACTAAACCAGATTCTTTTTGGATATTATTAAAGTAACATTTAAGACTCAACTTTGAATGATGCTGTTCAAAATAAAATACCTTTTATGTTTAATTGCAGGACTAGTAGTAAAGTCTAAAGTTTCCAAGAAGCATAAAATGCTGTACTCTTTTGAGTATATCCTCTTCACCAATGGTGCATTTTGGGATGGGGAGGTGGGATAGTAGGGATTAAACTCAGGGGCACTTGGCCACTGAGCCACATCCCCTGCCTTTCTTATACTTTATTTAGAGACAGAGTCTCACTGAGTTGCTTAGTGCCTCACTTTTTCTAAGGCTGGCTTTGAACTTGTGATCCTGCTACAGCCTCCCAAGCCGCTAGGATTATAGGTGTGTGCCACTGCGCCCAGCAAAAGTGGTGCATTTTGAGTTAAAGTAGTGATGTTCATTTGGTATTAATAAGAGGTTTTGACGTGTTTCTCAGGCTGTCTCAAGTGATCCTCTACCTCATCCTCCCAAGTAACTGGGAGGACAGATGTGCATCAAGGAGTCCAGCAAGCTATTATAGTGAATTTATTTGTCAAAGGTTGCTTCCTGTCAGAAATAATTCAGAATCTACTACCATTTAAAATACCTGAGAGTGCCAGGTGCGGTGGCACATGCCTGTAATCCCAGCGGCTTGGGAGGCTAAAGCAGGAGGATCACAAGTTCGAAGCCAGACTCAGCAATTTAGTAAGGCCCTAAGCAAGTCAGTAAGACCCTGTCCCTAAATAAAATACAAAAAAGGGGCTGGGAATGTGTCTCAGTGGTTGAGTTCCCCTAGATTCAATCCCCAGTACCAAAAAAAAAAAAAAAATCAACCAACCTGAGAGTGATTTCATTGCAAATTACTGAGATAAAAAATTTCAAAAATTTTAAAGCTTTAAAAAACCTGTAAAGGATTTGATGTAGAAACTGATTCTAATTCAGAAAGATTATATTCAACTCCTGGTTCTTGGTTTGATTTCAGTAACATTGTTAGAGTGCTAGGCCAGCTAGGTGGATATCTAGGGATTGAGAATTCGTTTTAAAAGAGTTATGTTCATTTTTTTTAAATTGGTGCCTTAAATTATACATAATGATCGCATTCTGATAAAAGGATAACTACTAAAATTTTATGACTTCATGATAAAAATGTAGGAGCATATTATTCATTCATCAAATACTTGCTGAGCATCCTATATATACCCAACACTGCATGTTAAAAGATACACCTTTGTGGAGGCTTACAATATACTCAAAGGGACTTATGTATAACCAGCCAATTATAATGTTACCGCTGTTTATCGGCATTCTTGCTTACCCGAATGCTGAAGTATAACATCAGAGAAACACACCAAGGCAAGTTTAGAATGGAAAGTAGAACAGCTGAAAGGACTTCTCCCCAGAGGAAGAAGGGGACCCAAAAGGCGGAATCCGGAATCTGTGGAAGGGGCAGGTCTTCCCTTTTTTATAGCTAAAGTCTTCTTTCAGCTTTCCCACACTCATGTATTTTGTTTCCCTTTATCTTTCAGTGATGGAATGCAGATGGGAAGGCCCAAAAGGTGGGAGATAGGGGCGCTGAAGGTGTAACCTGGGCAGGAAGGGCCTGGGGCAGCTTTGTTCAGCATTTCCCTGTTTGCTGAGAGCTGTTTCATTAACAGTTCCTTAGAATGGGTCCCAAGCCTTGGGGACATTAACCAAGTGCTGTTTTGCTTTCCTGGACTCCATTGTCTATAATGGCCTCCATTTTAGTTCTCTCACTGGATATTAGACCCAATTTACCTAACTACACTAACTACCTATCTGTAAATCTGGCTTCAATAATGCACAATGATCAGAGCTGTAAGGGAAAAGCAGACCCAGGAGGGTTAGTGAGAACTTTAGAATGCAAAGTGCATGGGACTGAGTTGTGGAGGACCTTCTCTATTTTATTATTTATTTATTTTTTTCTTTTTTTTAAATGTGATGCTAGAGATTGAACCCAGGGCCTCACACATGCTGGGGAAGTACTGCACCACTGAGCTACACCCCCAGTTCCTTTATATGCCATCTTGAGGACTTTATTCAGTAGTCTATGGACCATTAAAGGTTTGTATTTTGGAAGAAAATGTTCTGTTTTCCCATTGATCATAATGAGGTATTAGGGTAGCAAAATGTGGTAACCACCCCAACTTCTCACTGCCTTCAAGTGTTTGCCTTTTTCATCAAAGTCCAGTGTGACAGGCAGGCTCTAACCTCCCAGAGACCCATAATTGTACTTAACTATAACACAATTGTTTCATTAGAATTTTAAAAGATTTTTGTATAATTGTCTTAGTAAAACACAGGATACTTCATAACATTTATAATTGATTTGGCCAGATTGATCTACCATGGTGCTCATAACGACTTTACTTCTATTACTAGTAATTTCCCTAACTTAGAATCAGTTGAATAGAGAGTGCATCTCTCACCCAAGCTTGGTCATTCTGATATCTTCTAGAAGTTTTGGTGCTCCAGCTGAGTTGCTAGGCTGTTCCCTTGGAAATCGTGTTCCTGGTGTAGTTTGGAAAAACCAAAGTGCAATGGAAATTAAAAGATTACAAAGAAAATCAGACATACAGAGGGGACTGTCCAGTTACCTAGTGGGTTCCAAACAGATTCAACTATCCTTCCTTGTCCTTGAATTCTTACTACATTTGGTCTGCTATAACAAAATATAGACCTGCATGGCTTATAAACAGTAGAAATTTGTTTCCCATAGTTCTCGACTGGAAAGTCCAAGGTCAAGCTGCCTGCAATTCCTTATCTGGTAAGGGCTTGCTTCCTCATGTGATCTCACATGGCCGGTCACTATGAGGCCTCTTGTAGAAGAGTACTAATCCCACGTGTGAAGGCTTCATCCTTATTACCTCTCTGAGGCCCATCTCCTAATTACCATGATTGCCTTGGGGGTTAGAATTTTCCACCTAAATTTGGACACAAACATTTGAATCATAAAGTGCCCTGTGTGTATGTCTATGTGAGTGACTTTACCTGAGACCACTAGTCCTGCTCCTGTGCAGCACATTTTATAAGTACTAGCTGAATAAAGAGCACAGAAATCAGAAAATAATATAAATCTCGGCAAGTTTTTAGGACTTTGATGATGATCAATTATCTGACACAGGAATGAGAATCTCTGATCCAGAAATGGCAAATAAATAATGAGTGTGAAAGTGTACACATGATATAGCTCAGTACTTTGTAGGTGATTAATGCTTTTTGTGACCCTTATCACCACTGTTAGCAAGTAAACACTGATCTTATTTTTTTAATGCATAATTTTCTTTGCTTTTTCTTGAATCCTTTTTAAATATTTTCTACACTCATATTCATAAGTGGGATGCAAAAAAAAAGTACACAGTGTTCCAAATAGTGTTTATCTCAAATATCAGAAGTAGGAGTACAGAGATTAAAGAAATTCAAAGGCAGTTTAATAATGCAAATGAAAATCAAATAGATTGTTGAAATGAAAAAATCCAAATTCCACATTTGAATGTGGTTCTGAGTTAATGCTGAATAAATCTGTAAGATTTACCTAACAAAGAGATTATTGCCCAGAATTATATAGATCCTATTCTATGTTAGACACCAATTCTTTCTTGTTTAACTTTTGAGACTGTTTCCATGATAAGGACTTCTTATGTCTCTATTTAGAAAAAGCACAACCCTTCATGTCCACAGACCTGTCAGTCATCTCTAGCTTTCTACTTCGTAGGTCTTTGTGGTTCATGGTTTTGAGGAAAAAACATAGTTTAGTCTCAGCTCTTTGACAGTTGATGACTTTAGGCTTTTGTCTTACTAAACAAAAAAAAAATATTAAAAGCAATTTAAGATAATTTGAAATATTAACTGAATGTTGAAACTATAAGTTAAAATATTTCCAAATACCATTTGTAAATTATAGATTCTACACTTTTTTAATTCTTCTAGTTTTCTATTGTAGTTCAATCCTGTGAAGCCAAAGGGGTGGGTGTGAGTTTCTTCAGAGCTCAAAATCCAGTCCTAAGATGACATGAAACAAGATGATCCTTAGCTCTCTCCACTTATTTATAAATAATTTATATATAAATTATGGAATTCATATATTCATTTTTTAAACATTTGTATTTACATTTTCACTATTTAAAAAATATAGAGGCTGGGGTTGTAGCTCAGTGGTAGAGCACTTACCTAGCATATGTGAGGCCCTGAGTTCAATTCCCAGCACCACATAAAACTAAATAAACAAAATAAAGGTATTGTGTTCATCTACAACTAAAAATATTTTTTTTAATTAGATATAGAAGTGTTAAAAGTAAAAAATGACTGTCTTCCTCTTTCTACCATCCTCACTCCAATCTCATTCCCCAAGAGAATCTGTTGTCAACGGTTTTTGGATAACCTGGTTCTTGTATTAGTGACTAAGATAAAAACTACTTCCTCTGGTCATAAGATGTGGTCTTTCCATCAAACAAACTTGGAATATTTTTTAAGAAGGCAACCAGAAACCCACACACTGGACAGTCACCAGTCTTCCCAACAATTTCTGGTTCTTCCATAGTCATGGGTAACCACGTCACCACACCCATCCTGTATTTATCTATGATCCTTTCTTCATACAGCAGTCACACTGATCTTTGCAAAGCACAAATTTGATATTTTTATTATCACACCTCCTGCTGGAAACATTGTCATGACTTCTGGTTTTTAAGACCGAAATACTTAACTGCTGTGCAGCCTAATCCCAATTCACTCTCAACCACATCTTGATCTAACTAACAGGATGTTCTTGGCATCTGTCACACTGGCTCTTGGTGGCTTTTTGGTGAATGCTAT